CTGCAGGTGGGGAGGGGCGGGGCCTCCGGGAATCACGGGGCGGGGCCAAAGGTGCGAGTCAGGTGCTGGGGATTCAAACATGGCGCCTGCCTGCTGGCTGTGTGCGGGGAGGACTCGCCAAAGGAGCCATGGCCTCCGCCAGCCCTTCTGCCTGGGAGGAAGCCGCCCTCCACCCCTCGCCTGGATTCCAGGCAGGTTAGTTCCCCCCCCGAGTGTCCCAGGTCCTTTCAGGCTGCTCCCGGCGCTGGGCTCAGAGGGAGCGTCCGAGTGAGTCCGCTGGGCTCAGAGGGAGCGTCCGAGTGAGTCCGCGCCGGGCCCTTTAGAGGAGCTGCTGGGGCCCCCGCAGCCTCTGCAACCCTCAGGGACAGTCCCCGCTGGTTTCACAGCCCGGGGTTGTGGGGACATCTCTTCCTGGCCCTGGAGCCCTGGCCTGGGAGCCTGCTGTGGGGCTGGGACCTCTGACTCCTCCAGGATACCCCCACCGCCGAGATGTCCTTCCAGGTTGAAACCGCGGTACCAGGTGTGGGCCCGCGGCTGCGTCTCCTGGATTCAGCCCGATCCGCCCGCGTCTCCACCCCTTCTACGGGTCTCGGTGCTGCTTCAGCTCCCTGGTTGTGGGGCTTCTGTTCAGCTGGATCTCAGGAGGCTCTGAGTGACGGTGGTTCTATATTTTAGTTGTGATTTTTATGTGGTTGCGGGAGGCGGCGGGGACAGCGGTTACCTACGCGCCATCTTGTTTTCTTTCCTATGACGGTTTTTAAGCAGTATTTTAACTGCGTTTTAACTCTTTTTCAAGAGTCTAGCTGTGAGTTATGACATTATATTTAGTGTTTTTAAAAATGGTTGGGTTTGTAATGCAATCTTTGGGTATCTTTTTGTGTCTGAAGTCTTCACCGCCCTGAATGAATTCATCCCCAGGGTGTCATTTCGGTTTCTCATTCACCAGTATTTCCAGTGATATCCTGTGCTTCCAGCCTCTCATGTCCTTATTTTGTCTGCTTCTGCTTGAACCTTCCCTTGTCTCCTGGCACAGTCACCTTTCTTTGCTTTCTTGATTAAGTTCTGTGCTCTGACTTGTGTCTCTCAGCTTAGTGGCCTCGGCACCTTATGCTGACCACCATCTTCCGTGGAATTGTCAGTTCAACCGTTTGCCTTTTTCTCCTGTATGTGGGCCACTCAGAGACACGGAGAAGAAAATTGGGCTGCTGCGGTAAATCTGTGGTCTACAGTTTCAGCTGTGGTGCTTTCCAGCATGTCAGCCCCTTCCCGGGCCTGCACGTGGGCAGTTTCAGGAGTTTACCCTGTGCTCCTGCTCACGCCTCACGCCCCCTGTCCCCCAGGCCTCAGAAGTTACCCAGAGTCTCTCAGACCCTGGTCCTTTCACAGCTGGCTTTGCTTTGGCACCCCACCCCCTCTAACCCTGTCCCCACCCTGCTGCTGCTGCCGTCAGAGCCAGCCTCCCAAAGACCAAATCCAGGGGACGTGCTTCATGTTAGTCTCCCCCGGACGTGGTGCCTGGGCCTGGACCTTGTCTGTCTGCTGAGCTGCCCT